CCCCTGCGGCGCCCGCCCTGGCCCAGCCTTCGCCCAGCACCCCCCCAGCTCGGCCTTCGCCCCCAGCCCATGAGGTCAGCATTGCTCCAGAGAATCCTGCCCATTTCCCTGTGGCCGGAGCTGGGCAGAGGCTACATGGGTCTGACTGAGGAGGAGATTCAGGGATTTGCCAAACCAGAGCAGAGCACTGACCCCTCTGCTGTTATCCCCAGGCGACACTACAGCGCCCCCGGACAGCCGGCGTCCCCTCCCTTCCAGTCAAGCAGGCCTGGACGGAGGTGGCAAGGAGCTGCCCCACCCCGACCCCCGCTGGGAGGTCTGACGGGCTTTCTTACCCCAGTGTGCAAACGGCAGGGTGTGAGCGCAAGTGCCTGCTGAGCGCTTGCAAACTCAGCCCCTTGCTGGCCAATTTAAAAATCGGGTCTCAGAGGGGCGGCCGGGTTAGTTTGTATCTGCCAAAACAAGGAGGTGCCCGGTGGCACTTTAGAGACGAACGGATTTATGTGGGCGCAAGCTTCGGGGGGGTCAAACCCACTTCAGCAGAGTAGGCTTCGTCCTGGAGCAGAAGTGACAGAGGCGGGGATGTGTGTGTGCACTGCAGGTTGCACCTCTACAAACTGAGACTCTGGTCCGGCAACATCCGTGGTCCTGCAGGACCATGGATGTTCCAGGATCAGAGAGTCCCGATGCTCTGCGCATGAAGGGGGTGAAAGCCGGACGCAATGTGCGAGGGGGGGAGCCCCAAATGAGACCCACGTAGGTTCCCCGGGGAGACTGATTCGTGGCTCAGCTGAGCCGTGGGGGGCAGAGGGGAGGGGCGGCAAGTCCAGTGTGCTGCCCAGTTGGGCTGCCCAGGGGAGCCAGGGAGCCTGGTGGGGCCACAGGACAGAGAGTAGGGCCAATAGCAGGCGGGCTAGAAATGACCTCCCCTCGTCTGGCAAAATCCCTCACTGGGGACCAGTCGGGTCCCGAGGGTGCCGGACCAGGGAGGTCCAACCTGTAGCATATCAGCGGCTGGCAGTGAGCCACATCCACCCTGCCCTGAGTCGGCCTTGTTCACACCGGCCCGACACTTGATCAGTAACTCCCTTCTTTGGATGTGCTAGTACAGATCTATCCCCGCCTCTGTGATTTCCACTCCAGCGCGTCTGAGGAAGTGGGTTTGACCCACAAAGCTCGTGCCCAAATCAATCTGTTCCTCTCCAAGGTGCCACCGGGCTCCTCCTTAGTTTTTTAAAATTGGGCCCCAGAGGGAAAGCAGGAGAGACCTCGAATGCGAAACTGGACTGACAGCGTTGGAGACCGCCGGCCTCTGACGAGAAGGGGAAATCCAAGGAGTGGGAATGCAACCGCCCTTCCTCCTCCCAACACACGCAGCTGGCTCCATCCCTCCCTGGAATGCCCCACCAGCTTGGTCTCTGGTGCGCTCTAGGGGAGGAGGCTTCACCCCGCATCCCCCACCCCGTGTGCTCTCTGGTGCCTAGGGACAAGGCCTGCCCCAGCGGCGATACCCCACCTCCTTCTTATCCTTGGACTTGTCGATCTCCTTCTTGAGCAGCTCCACCCTCTTGAAGGACTCCTTGCTGTCGGTGCTGTACACCAGCACGTAGCCGTCCGTGCAGGAGAAGCAGTGCTTGGGAAGCTCCAAGCCGTCCCTCAGGCCCCGGGTGTCGTAGAAACGCACCTGCTCGCGCACCCCTCGGTCCGTCTCTATCGAGCCCACGTAGATGTCCTCCTGGGTTTCTATCATCTCAGAACCTGCGGAGAAGACGGCGTGTGGAGGGTGGAGGTGGGTAACGGACAGCATCTGCAAGGACAGTGGGCTGCAGTGTTCCACTGGGCTGGGAGTCAGGATGCCTGCCACCTATTCCTGCCTCTGCCACTGATCTGCTGAGCGACCATGACCATGTCCCTTCACCTTCCTGTGCCTCAGTTTCCCCTTCCAGCCTTTAGAACATAAGAACTTAAGAACAGCCAGACTGGGTCAGAGCAAAGGTCCACCTAGCCAGTGTCCTGTCTTCTGACAGTGGCCAACTCCAGATGCCCCAAAGGGAATGAACAAAACAGGGAATCAGCAACTGATCCCTCTCCTGTCACCCATTTCCAGCCTCTAACAAACAGAGGCTAGGGACACCATTCCTACCCATCCTGACTAACAGCCATTAATGAACCCATCCTCCATGAATGTATCAGGTTCTTTTTTGAACCCTGTTAAAGTCACAGCATCCTCTGGCAAGGAGTTCCGCAGGTTGCCCGTGCACTGTGTGAAGAAATATCTCCTTTTGTTTGTTTGAAACCTGCTCCCTATTAATTTCATTTGGTGACTCCTAATTTTTGTGTGCATGTTCCCATAACACAACTTTTCCGTATTCATTTCCTCCACACCGGTCATGATGTTTATAGACCTCTATCCTATCCCCCCTTCATTGTCTCTTTTCCCAGCTTTGTGTGCTCTGTTCAGGCTGTGAGCTCTCTGGGGCAGAGCCTGGCCCAATGGCGCTCCTAGGTACCACAGAACAACAGCTGGACCTGTCTCATACTCTGCTCCTTGCTCATTCAGTTTACAGCGGCCCTGTTGGGGCTCTCTGCCTCTAGAAGGCCACAGTCCCAAACGGTTTCCTAACTTATGAGGAGAGGCTGAGGGATTTGGGCTTATTTAGTCTGCAAAGGAGAAGAATAAGGGGGGCTTTGATAGCAGCCTTCAAGTACATGAAGGGGGGTTCCAAAGAGGGTAGAGTCAGGCTATTCTCAGTGGTGACATATGACAGAATGAGGCTCAATGGTCACAAGTTGCAGTGGGGGAGGTCTGGGTTGAATATTAGGGAAAACTATTTCCCTAGGAGGGTGGAGAAGCACTGGGATGGGTTCCCTAGGGAGGGGATGGAATCTCCGTCCCTAGAGGTTTTTAAGTCCTGGCTTGACAAAGCCCTGGCTGGGATGATTTAGCTTGGAGCAGGGGGTTGGACTTGATGACTCCTGGGGTCTCTTCTAGCCCTCGGATTCTATTTACTCTCCCCACCTGGGACAAACCGGCGCACGGCTGCGTCTGCCTCCCTCGCGTACTTGCACTAATCTATTTGAATTGTGGGGTTTGCACTGGAGGGCTGGCCGGGTTCCACTTGAGTTTGCTCTGGGATGCAGATGGGGGAGGGGGGGCGGGTCAGTGCCGATTTGTTATCGTAGGGTCTCTCGTCAACAGCGGGACTCGGCGCTGAGCTGTTCTTGGCAGGGTGCGGGTCTTTGTGAAAAGCCACGGCCGAGCCCTTTGCGATGCAACCTGTCAAGAGCGGTGAGGGCTGCAGGAGGCCCCCTTGCTGCTCCCCTTCCTCTCCATGCCCCACACGTACCGACCACATGGTTCCCATAGAGAAGCTGCTCCAAGATGGACGTTTTCCCGACCGAGGCTTGGCCGCAAACCACCACCTTGCAGCTCTTCCCCATCGGGGGGTCTCTGTTCTGGGGACGGAAGAGCAGGAGGTTCAAAGTCGAGTCAGCTGGGCGAAGCTACAGGCTGGAGAGAGGCACGGTTCCCTGGGCCACCCAGTGCTCGGCACTGCCACAGGGGAGAGAGAATCCGAGAAACACAGGGTTGGAGGGGAATGCCAGAGAGCATCTCACCCAACCCCCCTGCACTGAGCCTGGTCCCTTCCTCCCTGGGCCAGCGGGGGGTGGGGCACTGCTGGGCGACGTGACTCGGAAGTGTCTTTGTGATGTTGCATGTAAGTTCTACTGCCCTATAGTAGCCCTGAGTACGTGCCTCAGTTTCCCTGGGCACTGCGCCAATACCTAGATGGTGATGGGAATCCGGGGTGTGACTTCCATTGAGGGAGGCCGCCGCAGCCTCGTCATCACCTGAGCCCAGGAGGGGGTGCGACCAGGTGACACCTTTTGTCCCGGAAGCAGGACAATGGCCGCCTGGCTGCGGGGGCCGGGACCAGGAGCCGGGAGCGGGTTAATCTCAGCTGACTGCGGAGGCAGGGGGACTGTACCGACTGCTTCGGGTTCCTGTGCTGACAAGTTCGTTCTGTGCTGTGTCCCTGTTGACTAATAACCCTTCTGTTCTGCCTGTTGGCCGAGAGTCACAGAGGGGCTGCGGTTGGGGGGCAGGGCCTGGTGACGCCCCACCCCTCCGTGGCACTGGTGGCAGCGGTGGGAGGCACTGCACCCCGTGGACGGCGCATCCGGCAGCAAGTGACTGGGGCGCAGTAGCACAAAGGGGGACTAGCAAGACCCAGGCGTGCCGAAGGCCAGAGAGGAGTTCCAGGGGGTGGAGGAGCCCGCGGTTGAACACGAGAGCGTGGTCCCCGAGAAGGGGTGTCACACTCGAGGAGGGGTTCCTCCTGGAGACCACAGGAATCAGTTCCAGGAGGTGGAGGGGACTAACCCCCTGCAAGGCATTGCGACCCTCACCAAGGCTGACTCACCGAAGGGGTTCTTCCTTGGAATTGGAGGGCGCTGCATGTGCAGGCCTGTGGATTCGCAACACCTTGGGAACAGCGGGGAGAGGGCCTGTCTCCTTAAGGATATCGAGCTGTGCCACGGGAGAGCACTGCACATTGGGAAGTTCCCCACATCCCAGCTAGTTGCCCTGCTGAGTGAGGTCAGTGCTGGAAGGTCCCCTCCTCCCTCCCAGGGGACATGTGGACAAGCCCTGAAGAGCTGAGCTCCCATCTGCATGAGCATTAAAGACACCTCGGAACACTTCCGGGAAGAAGCTGGATGTTCCTGGGGGCCCCTGGCCCAAACTCCCCCTCCACCCACCGTTGTGCTGTGGGGTTGCCACCCTCCACCCCAGAGGAAGCTGCATTTCACAGACCAGTACACAGCATGGGGGTGGCAAATAGTTTTCACACCCAGACAAGGGTGTTGGGAGACATCTGAGCCCAAACCCTGCGCTGGTAAGGGGCAGAGGGAAAATCAACTGTGCAGGTCTGCCACTGGACTAAGGAGATGGGGGTTCACTTCCCAGCTGTGCCACAGGCTCCCTGGGTGGCCATGGGCAAGTCTCTTCACCTTGCAGTACTTCCGTTCCCCATCTCCCAAAGAGGGACCAATCTCTCCTGCCTCCATGAATAGTTTTGGGGCTCAGTTTCCACTGGGCTAGGAAATGATTCACTAGGTTTTTTCTATCTCATAAGCCCCCCTTTCCACACACACACTGGCTACGTCTACACTGGCATGATTTTCCGGGAAAAGTTTTCCGTTAAAAGCATTTTCGGAAAAGCACGTCTAGATTGGCAGGATGCTTTTCCGTAAAAGCACTTTTTGCGGAAAAGCGTCCGTGGCCAATCAAGACGCGGTTTTCCACAAAAAAGCCCCGATCGCCATTTTCGTGATCGGGGCTTTTTTGCGGACAACAATACTATGCTGACTACACTGGCCCTTTTGCACAAAAGTCTTTCGGAAAAAGACTTTTGCCCGAACAGGAGCAGCATAGCATTTCCGGAAAAGCACTGACGATCTTACAGAAGATCGTCAGTGCTTTTCCGGAAATTCAAATGGCTAGTGTAGACAGCTGGCAAGACAGATGATTTTGCGGAAAAACTTGCCAGTCTAGACACAGCCACTGTGATCCACGCTGGGGAGCACTGATGGCATATCCTGCATTCCCCCTATTCTACACCCCCCCCCCCCCCCTCTCTG